ACCAATAAAATGTCGGGCAATATAAAGTTAATTTGTGATGCTATTTAGCACTTTTATTGTCAATGATCGGGCATTTTTAACCATGTAAATCGACTAATCGACTATTTGTATCATGGCTGACTTGCGTTATGACTGTATTAACAGCTGTACTGTTGTGGCTGTGTGAGTTTAGTAAGTGCACGATTACTTAGACCATCAAGTAAATTAAATAATAAGTAATTATTTATTAAATCTATTGTCTATAAGTCACAAGAATGTTTTTGGATGAGAGAAGAGAAGAACATTTCTAAGTTGTTGGTGGGTAGTTACCCACCAACAACTTAGAACTGGGTAGGTTTTTCGAGATACAAAAAAGCGCAATAATCTTTACTACAAACTGATTAAATTTGAAATAAATAAAGCTCAAATCAGCTATGTGTGGGTGAGTATTAGCCTTAATCGTCTCCCGTCTCCGTAAAAGTTGCATTCTTGGACTTAAAGAACTAATTTGCCATAAGCGTGTATTTATAGGCGTGTACCGATATTTGAACTAAAATAATATTTTTGTAATTAAAAAAAATCATAAACGCTACGTTAACACACTCATTTGGCACTACATAATGTATGTAAATAAGATTATTTTACATAAATTATTTACGACACCATTACATAATATACGTAACTGATTAGCAAGGATATACAATTATTATAAATAACTGGTTTTAATTCACGGTTGTTATACACAATGATATACAATATGTGTTCTTGTCCCAAATGAATTTATCGTAATTAAAGTTTGTACAAAACAAAAACATATAAATATATACATAATCTGTTTATTAGAGACCAAAAAATTACTTGTTTTGAATTTGAATAGATGTTAATTCCTTGACAGCAAAGCGATTGAAGTAAAATCTGGAAACAGTCGATTCGATCCGACAATACAAACAAACCGTCTTTTTCTTGGGGACAGCAATAAGTCGTTAGTAAGGAGCCCCTTTGATTATTATTTTAGTGATTGCTCTACCGCTAAGAGGCAATTATAACAACAAACTATGTTCTAATCTCAACTAATAAGTATAACCATTAATAATTTATCAGCAATCACGCCCAACGCGTACCAAATTCATGATTTACGAGTTTTTACGCAAAAAGTTGCAAACTGTTCCACTTTGGCCGTTTAGGTAAAAACCGGTTTCACAAAACACTTGCGTGTTGAAATTTAATTTTACGCCATTTTCTATTTAGGTGAAATACTTAAAAAGTCATTTAGTAACGATATCACACCTTAATTCGAACCGCAAAGTTAGAATTACATTTTAATTATACAGGAATCTCACATTTTAACTATACACATTTAACTATTCTGTTGACTTATTTCTAATGTCTTGCCTTTTAATCACAGTCTCTACTGGTCGGCTAGTTAATATATAAATCGTTTCGCAAATATTTTTGAGATCAAAACTCGTATTAGCACCTCAGCAATTCTGTCGGTCGTTTACGTGAGTCTCTTAAGTAGAATGCTTAGAACGACCCCTTAGATTGCTGTCTAAAACATTGTATGAGGCATTTGACTTTTCCATATACTTCATGCAACTAGAAATGGAATTGCAATTGAAACGCAGTCGAGCACAAACCACTAACCGAAACCAACCGTGTCGTAATAACGTTTTATCAAACAATTACCTAATACGTGTTTTGTTACCAATTATTAAGAAGTATTTGCAATTTGTCTCATGCGTGCGCATGAAACATTTTTAATAACGTACAGCAATCTATGTACGGAACAATCGTTTGAAGCCCTCGTGTGGTCAGAGACAAATAAAACCAACATTTAAAAAAAATCGTTGGAAAACGTACAAGCTGCTTTAACAATTTGAGTAAACTCTACGGCTAAAACATTGAGACACTGAGGATTTATGGAGCCTAGAAATAGATACGAGAATTTAGTTTTAATACATCTTTCATGGCCCACCAGTTATAAATCTATCTTTCTCAGTCCTCGTCATAAAATTTTACCATAAACTCGACCTAGATAATATACATTATTAGAATTTGCTGCGATGAGTTAAAGCGTTTCATTTATTTTCTAATAACAAAAGTCAAAAATCATTTAATCATAAAGGTAACACAATGTACACTTATGAACGTCAAAAAAGAAATGTATATGAAAATGAAAGAGAAAGAGAAAATGGCGATTAAAAAGAGTGGCGGAGAGTTTATTGCCAGTTCTTCTCTTCCGTTCTACGCCCTTGAATTGAGAACTGGCACTAAATATAAATTAGAAGCATTAATATTATGTATTTCTTTGCTGACAAGTCATAAGTGTACAATACCCATATGATTAAATGATTTTTGAATTTGAATTACAATATTGTCATTGTAACATGTGAGTATTAAACAACTAACATTTCACCCTCTTTAATTTAAATTTATAAATCTGTCCCAATGTTTCCTGATCGGAGTTGTCATGAGTATGCATAGTTAAAATAATAATACAACTATAATACCGCTGTTTAATCCGATAAAGTTGTAAGCTACGCCTTACGTCGTGATATGACGTCTTTGCAACGGAAATTATGTACCTTGAGGCACTTAACGTTCGCAGCATGCGTTGTCAGCGACGGAAACAGTAGTACGCTATTTAATTAAATAATTATGTATATTATACATAATATATTATCTATGCGAATTGTATAATAAGTGTTGCCTAATTGCTGGAACGCGCCTATCAACCCTGTGCGTTCGAATCACGGCTGTGTACCAAATTAAAAAATTCTATCTAAGCACGTATTTAACGCCGGCGTGTGTCACACACAGAAGGCTGATCACCGACTTGCCTATAAAGAAAAATGATGGTCAAGAAACAGATACAGAAAGGTTGTAGCGCCACTGTTTTTTTGCTTGTATAATCTATCTTTTGGCACAAGCAGTGCGCAAGAGCAGTATTAACCTAGTGGTTTACCCGTTGCGTGCAATTCTAAATCAATATCTCGCATTAACTACGGCTGCGTATATCTAATAGATTTTCTTTGCTTGTGAAGAAAACATCGTGAGCACACGGAATTATATGTCGGACCCAAATATATATTTCTCAAGCAGAGAAATCTGATCTACTTTTGAAACTCTGAAACATATGCAGACAAGACTTTTAAAGAGTAATAGAGAATCTAAGAATATAATCAAAATTTAGATATATTATTAAATTTATCTATGAATATAAACTAACGCTTATGAAATGTAATTTAATTATATCCAAGTACCGAAACGTTTGACACGCTTCTGACTCATAGCTAATAACCACACAATAGTTACAGTTAGGTTTCCCATCCATAAACTTTATTCATTCAATCATGACTATTTTTTAGCCGATACCGTTTTATCGGTTTTTATAGCGAGTAACTGCGTTTGCAATAAATTATACTATCCATCTTTCCCCTAATAATTTTTCATCATTAAACGCTACAGGGCCTAAAAAATTACTAAAACAGAATCGTGGATAGGTATGACAACTGACGCGCACTGACAGCAGAGTATGCGGCCTTCCTGCGCATGCGTGTGCTACCCTTTGTAAAGATATCATCTTAATATATATAAATTACGTGTCACGTTGTTTGTCCGCTGTGGACTCCTAAACTACCGAACCGATTTTAATCAAATTTGCACACCGTGTGTAGTTTGATCCAACTTAAAAGATAGGATAGCTTACATCTCAATTTATACCCGCAAAATTATTTTATTGCAAAATATTTCTTTATTATTTGATATTATGGCATTACCACCAAAAAAGCATGGTGGTCCCCATGACTGGTGTTCTCCTACCGTTTCCCTTGAATAGGTTACTACTATGTAATATAACTAAAACCTTAGCCACAGCAACGCTTGGCCGGTCTGCTAGTATAATATAAAATATTTTAGGGTTAAAAACTGTACGTATTATTGTCAAAATGCTTAGTTTATTGCAAAGTACGAGAAGTATGAATGACAAGTCCAACCCAAATATTTAAGTATTTTTCAAAAAACGTTTGACATAAAGACTATCTATAGACGTTACACCTTACGCAATAGACATATTTATAAAAAGGCGGCGTGTAAAGCTTCCCGCTTGTCGGATATCCATCAGTCGTCGAGTGAAAGTCAATAAAATGCGATGAAACCATGTGAATTCACAAACACTTGATTGCGTACCTACCAATTTGATATGGCATGATGCAAACGGGTATTCGTAATGTCTTAACCTTGTGAGCACTCATTACAAAAATATATTTTACCCAGAAGTTATAACAATGTTATAGGTAGGTTATGGTATCTAAGATAAACAGTTACTAGGTTACAGTGGCACTTTATCATTCGATGATTCGATTATTTACAATTATATTTATATGTTTTATAAAACAATTTATTTATTTTAATATTTAGGTCTCGAGGTCGCCACCGGGTGTCAAATTTTAACAAAAATGACAGGATCGGTGAAGGCCATGTAACGGTTACGCTGTTTTCATTAAGCGTATACACTTTATTTCTACTATTAAATGAAACTCATATAAAAATATATTATCATTGTATTATATTAAATGTTCCTATATTCATTCATATCTCTGCGCTTTTTATACCCGAGAAAGTCAAGACTTAAAAAATATACGAAATAGAATCATTTCTGTATTTTAGAATAAATAGTACTGCAACCTCAATGGTCTAGGTAAATGGAGTTTTCAAGTTGCCAGACCATATTTTAGTTTAAGTATGCTCGTATAAGTTGACTGGCGAAGCGCAGTGAAAAGTTGTTAAATACGTGGTAGGTTAGTACTTGTTAATTCTTCACTTTCTCACACGAAGGCATTGTGAATTTGCCTTTGAATACCAATTGTTCATGTGTGGAAGAAATATAAATTACCTTTGTAGAAACAACACGAAGTATTCGCTGTGACTAAACTATTGAGTACCGAGATGAGACACATTTAATGTATTTTACGCACGTTTGTATGAGTATAAGTTGTATCAAAACTAATAGTTTGATTTCGTTAAAGTCTTCCAGGCTTGAAAAGTTCTCCAGATTCCATTTGTCGTACCGTTTCCCTCTCCTCAGCAGCAATTTTTGCTTTCAGTTTAGCATTTTCTATGTCTCGTTTTTTTTGTCTTTCTGCTTCTTCTTCTCTCCATTGAGCCTCCATTTTGCCATACAGCATTTGTTTACTAAAACCGTAGACAATACCAACAGCTAATAGAGCATATCTTGCAGCTCTTATAAAAGGTGAAACTTGTACTGGTGGTCCATAAGGTAACGACATTGCCGTTAAAAATGATTAAATTTTTGAAGTGGACTTCTTTTATAAACGTTTATAAATTAACCGCTGTTTTGACTTGACAATGAAATCATATTTTTTAAACACAGAGTACTATTTATTTCTCCTAGGTTCATTTACCTTTTTGGTCAACGAATCGGTTATGCATTTTGGAACGTCACTACTCACTAGCCAGGAACATAGAGTATTATTTTGTAAGATTTGTTAGAAGAAAAGATTGTACAGATTCAAAAATACAGTTCGTGCAAGAATAATTTTCCTTGGGGAGTTAAATCAGATGCCTTCGCCCTTGACATCTACTGTTTATTATTTAACTATTTACTACTTTTTATTCAAAAAGTGTAAAATTACAAAAAAATAGTATGAATTAAATTGTTGAAATCATGCAAGTATTATTAAAATTAAGTTTAGACATCTATCTCGCAGTTTTTTTTGCTTCTCAGAAGGCCAGTGCCCGATTGCAACTAAAATACCGTTTATCTGTAGCAAATAGCAACCACCAATTTTAGCAGACTGGCGATGCGCCAGCGGGTAGCCTGGTGTAATAGCGTGGTCAACAGAACCAAACATTAATCGAATCAATCACGAGTCACTACAATTATTTAATATCTTCATATTACGCAATATTTTTTTTTCATGATATCTTAAATACATCGCCTTGGGCAGTTGCTATGTTAGAGTGCTATTTCAATATATGTATATATAAATATTTTTATTTTTCTTATAGAAAAAACCATATATAGGTACTTACCATTAATATTTAATAGTATAGGTAAAGTACCTAGTTCCCTACAAATGTTTCGAAATTTGAAAGATACACGAAGTCGTTAATGTTTCTTAGTTTAGTAGGTCTTAATTTGGTATATTAATCAATAATATATTTATTTAATTCAATATTTATTTAATTCATAACATGAAAGAAACCGATCACATAGCCATACACTATTTATTTGAGGCGACTAATTTAACTAGGTATAATGGAAGTGGTTTAGTGAAATAGACATCTACATACATACTCGAACGACTAAAGTACGATCTCAATGAATAATAAGGAAGGTCGTGACTTCGTGACTGGAGTTCAATAGCAACAAGTCATTAGGCAGGCCAAGCATGAAATAGAATATTACACAATATTCTATTGTTGTTCAGAGATAATTGTAGTAGTATTTTGACATAAGCCATGACCTCCCGTACCGAGGAGTTAAATAAAATTTTGAAATGATTATTTTTTATTCATACGCAAAAGTTTTTATTTTGATTTACCTAATACGATATTTTGAAAACGCTAACTATTGTTGTTGTTATCATAACGGGTTACATAAAACTACTATGGTTTCGCGTTGCGGAGCTGTACCTATTTATTATTGACTACAGCTGTAACCATACCTACAATAAGAACCCTTAAAAATATTAACACCTATAATATTTTATTTAATAACACAGCAAGAAATTCAGGTACGAAATTTTAAAATAAAATAAGTGTATCATATCTGTTTTACTGTTTATCTTTTTTTTTAATACTTGAAGTACTTTTTATTTTACAAAGTTACCAATAAGCATCTTCACCAAAATTATGTAAAAATTCGTGAATAAAAATCTGTTTTGGGTGTTCCCAAAAAATTCAATACTTTGTTGACAAAAAACCGGTAATGAAACAAGCCTTTCACGACACCAAGACACTTACAAGTAGCGCTTCTCTAAGTACAGTCTGTCTCTTTTTTACACAAGGTACTATCGTAATTTTTATTCACTCCCACTTATGTGCATTTTTTCCTTTTCTGACTTCGTAATCGGTTTTCCAGTCTTTGATTGTCATTCGCGTCAGACGGTGCTATTGGCGCTGTAAAAAACAATACCTGCTGTTTTGTAGTTTATAGAAATAAAGAAGTGATTCCAATACTTATTCGAAACATTCCACGTAAGGTTAAGTTTTTATCAAATAACACAGCATTGGTTTTCTTTTATGTTGTGTCGGATTCATACAAACGTTCCCGTTATCGATTAATTTCTATGGGTGTGGTGTCGTGTTTATTTACCGTGTAGTCTCCTTATTATGTAATGATAAAGGATTTTATGTGAACGGTGTGATACTTTGTGTTTGCAGAAGTCGTCAAGTACGAAAACGACGACAATGACGACACCGGCCAAGTTGTACGGCAGAGAATTGTCCACATACGATGAAATTGATGTCGACGAACTTTTGTCGAAGTTGACACAAGAAGAGCTGACTATGCTCGCTAAGGAAGTAGACCCCGATGTAAGTTTTACCTCATCATTTTATATATTTAACTCTTTATACAGCAAAAATGAGTATTTAAGGTTAGTCTGACGATCGTAATTTATTCTGCTTTCTAAAAGTTATTAAGCCAAAAAGCAAAGATTTATTCCTTTAAGATGCAAATTAAAGGTATATAGTACATTGCTGTATACCTTTTGTATATAATAACTTTATCTAAAATGAGTAACAAAAATATATGTTGTTTAAATTCTTCTTTGAACATATCAAATTTAAGATTTAGAATTTTAAAAGTAGCATCATCTTTGTAATTGAAGATTACCTCATTCCGCCTTACAAGATGTTAAGGAATCTTTTAATGAATCTAAATGAATTTTATTATCACTGTAGTGTTAGGTGCAATCATGACTCATATTTTACTAACAATATGTTATCTTGAGTTCCATTTTATTGGAAAATAATACCTGCTACAATTAGATAAAGTTATATTAACACATTTATATAAAAAAAGTATCAAAAAGATATTGTAAATTTTTTTGGCTTATCAGTTCAGTCTGTAAAAACTTATTTACTTGTTATTTAATGATTTGTGACAAGTATTTATACCTTTTTTAATATTCTTTATGTATCTGCAGTATATATTTAACAGTTGTGAATAAAAGGATTGTGTAAAGATACGGTCAAAACGGCATTGTCATTTAATTAATTTAACATGTTCAAACTTTTATAGTCCTACTTTCTTGACAAACATAATCATAAAACCTAATTAGTCTAATTTCACACTTTTAAATTGTATTTAACTGTCAATTTTCAATACAACATAAACACAATAAAGCGCACCGCTAATTTAAAAACTGGTGAATAAAACAAAATTGATTTAATAGAAATTAGTTTAATAAATTTTAATATTATAAATAAATTATAAAATATAAATTTTAATATTAATATTAGCTAAATTGCTTCAATTGCACTTGTACAAGTACTCTACCTGTTAAATTGTATTTTTGATGTAGTGAAGTGGCAAATGAATACTTTTGTTAAAACAATGCAATGATTTATATTTTATAAATAGTGTAAGTCTGTTTAAGACACTTGTACATCAAAATTATTATAAAAGAAATGTATTTTTATTCAATGTATCTATATATATAACACTTATTTTATAACTTAATTAATCATCACCTATTTCAGGACACATTTTTACCACCATCACAAAGGACAAACTATGCATGTGAAAAGGATCCCACTGGCCCGCTGAATCGTAAGAAATTGATTGAACATATTAATAAGCAGGCACTTGAGACGCCTGATAGGCCAGAGGTGAAACCATATGTCGCCGGTGTTGTTAGAGGGAAAAAGGTAAGCTCTAATTACTGAAACCCCTATCAAACTATACCAGTGAAATTTTAAATGCTGTGTATTAATTAATTTATGAATGTACTCATTATTGGTTTTTAGTATGTATTTGAAATTAAGAAAACTAAATATCTAATATACAGACACATAATAGTGTGATCAATAGATAATGTGGTTTTAAATTATCTTTCAAGCTAAGTATTTGAAGCAATATTTATTTGTGAGTTTTTAAAATTATGATTTAAAAAATTATATAAAACAGAACTTTATAAGAAATTAATTATCGGAATTTACTTATGACAAGAATCCGCTTTCTATTAAAAATCGTTATATTTATAACATATAGTTATTACAAGTAAAACTTTTAGCAGCGGAAGTGATGTCATACTTTACTTTTTGTGTAATTTAAATGTAAGTTATTCAAGGCTTTGAATTAACAAATTAAAAATGTTATATTACATGTTTCCTTGTTCATTGTATCTCAATTTATTAGTGAACACTTACCTGCACTAAGATCCATGTTCTAATTTGTATCTCATGATCTTGGTCATGAAACTTCATACAGAAAAAGGACTAAAAGATTGATATGACAATCTTATAGCAATTAGTGGCACTAAATTCTCTGCAACACAAGGAAAAATGATAAAGCAATATATTATTTCAAAATATGTAGAATATACTTAACAAGTTGCAAATAAAATAGTTATTAAGTTTTCGTCACATAATCATAAAATTTCTTTCGTTGAAAATTTAAATAAATCTATGCCTGTAAACCCAGCTGTTTTGTGAAGGTCAAAACATGAATAATTCTTATGGCATCCAAATTTGCAATTTTCAGTGGATTCCACCACCACCTCCAGAGAAAGTCCGTGATGCAGATGAACAAATTACAATAGATCTAGGTGATGAATATGAGCAGGCTCTCACCTCTGCCTCACAGGAGGAAATCATCGACCTTGCCGGTGAGTCATTAGTTATTCTTTTTTATTAAAAATGCATGTAAGAAAAAAACCCATATTGTAATTAACAATAATAACATTTTAAAAGGCCAAATTTTTTAATGGATTTCACAAATCATTACTTAAATCTATGGCCTTTACTCCAAGTCATACGAGTACTTTAAGTTAGTCTTGAAGGGAAAACTTTATATAGAAATATATTGCTGTTTTATTCATATTTTAGGATACAGGAAGAAGGTTAACTGGGAAGGTTAGGATTTAAAAAAAAATCATAAATATAATTTTCTTATAATATAAGTTGGCTTATTAAAGTTCACTTGTCCTAGAAACCTCTCAATCGCTGGCTACTTTGTGTGGCCTGGATTGGTTATTGTCTCACATTCCACAATAAAACAGTTTTTTTTTGTTGCTATGCAAAAGCACTTAATAAGTGAAATTTTATTAAAATAATACTTTTACATTTGTTAAAACAAAATTGTCTATGATTGTTGCCTTGTCTATGAAAGACAACGATGCGGTGTATAGGGTTTTGATGTATAGGGTTATATGGTCTAGATTAATAATAATATTAAAATATAGTATTACAAGTCCAATTGTATACCTATTTCTTAGGTATTTTTGTACTGAGAGATTATAAATACAGTGTCGAAATTACTCGATTTTGGTTGGTTTGCCTTGTACAATATAAAATTTATTTCCATATAACGATAATTATCTTAAACAGATAATGGGCAGCGCATTCAGCATCGCTATATAGAGTTACAAACATTTAGCAATAAATAATTTACATTTTTCTTTCAGCTATTCTCGGGTTCCACTCAATGATGAATCAGGACCAGTACCACGCCTCATTATTAAACAAGGGGCAACCTGTTGGCCTCGGATGGGACGGTATCACAAAAGCGACTAAACCGAAGGTATAATACAATAACCATTTAAAAAATGAAGTATTTTAGAGGTCAGATTAGACATTTAAAAATTTAAACTGAGTTTATAAGGGTTAACAATAGGTAAGTTTAATTTAAAAATATTTTACCTAGCTATATACACATTCTATTTCGGTTTTATTTCAAAAACTACTGAACCGATTATGATGAAATTTTTCAGAAGTTTTTCGGTATAAATAAAAAAAGATAGAATTTTTTTGACAAATATGTAACAAAAAAAATCACATGTACAAGAAGCCTAAATAGATCATCATACTAAAATATGATTCCAATTTTTGTAATATCCATACATGTTAAACTGATAACATTGTGATTTTGAAGTAGGTTAATTTTTTTTATTTGACAACTAAAAGGCTTTATAAAACGAAGAATTTAATTATCATGGCAAAAGTATAGACTTTAGATAGATATAGATTTTATGCGGTACTAGAAACACTAATTGGCTATGATGGCATTTGCCCAGCAGCCGTGGCTTTGATACCCGGTGGCAAAAATATAATTTGGAACATTTTCATGAACCAAATGTTTCTTTTCAGGTGTACCCAATGGACCCACCAAACGACACAGACCCCGAAGATACCATCAAAAGGGTGAAGGAGAATGACCAGAATCTGACAGATCTCAATTGGAATAATATTAAGGTAATTTAATTTAATTTTACCAATAGAAAAGATTAAACCCGATTCAAACGCTTTCAATTGTACAATTTGTAATAAGTAGTAAATCACGACTAAACTGATTTCAATGGCTAAAAACATACTAAACGGGAAATCATATTATAATGTGAATTCAATTCTAAAAACCCGTATTTTAATATAGCTATGTAAAATTCAATTATACAAACATAATTTTTTTCAATTCTTGATAAACACATTAATAAATCTTATATATAAACTAACTATACACACTGGTATACCAATGTATATATAGTTAACTTTTATATTGTTCCTATACATTAACAAGTATAATAAAATAAAAAGTAATTTTAAACTAAATATTCCTTTCTTCATTGAGGCCAAAGAAAATTTTGAAAAAAGAAACATTGTCATTTTCATTAACGATTACACTGAGTACAGCCCAACCCAAGATAAAAACGAAATCAAACTAATTCCGGTGGTTTGACAAAAGTTCTCAATCCCTTACCATCACAGCTTATAGATAATTTGACAGAAAGAGATGAATTGACGATTGCAATTAATCAAATCAATTAAGTTATTTTATAAATTATAGTCTCCGTAAATTGGAACTTTTAAATTGGTTGGCACTATTTCCTAACTTCTACCTGCGTCAGCTACTATCATTTTTCATACATTTATTTCATATATATTAAATTTTGCGCAATTCCTGAACACATTTCTCCTTCCAGAACATAAGCGATGAGAAATTCGAGAAACTCTTCGAAGGGTTAAAAACAAATACACATTTAGAAGTTCTTTCGCTGGTTAACGTGGGTCTGAACGACCGCACGGCCCAACTTTTGGCTGACGCCTTGGAACAGAATGCGACATTGCGAGTGGTTAATGTGGAGACTAACTTTATTAGCCCTCCTGGTGTGGTGCAATTGGTTAAATCCCTGCTTACAACGACCATTGTTGAGGAGTTCCGGGCTTCCAACCAGGTATTCCATAATTGCATGTAAAAATATCTCATTATTAATATTAAAGTTTTTTTAAATAACCTATTTGACATATTAAGAATTAAAGAGTTATTGAGTGTAATCTGTACAAAATGTGACCTTATAGAGTAAAATATATTTGAAAATAATCGTTTATTAGAAATCCACAATTAAAAATATTGACATTTATACGTCAGTCACGTGACACAAGACGGCCATATATTAGTCAAATCGGTAATGACATACCATCTCTATCCGTAATTTGTCTTTGTCCGAAAAATAATGTGTGTCTGTGACTGACTGATAATTGACACGTAAAATAACTTGACATTTGTTAAAGTGATTTAGCATTCTGTGCTCCATCTCTTTGGCAGACCATCTGCCCATCTTTTTACTGATGAGTAGGTCTTCTTGAACCTACGTCACAGTTGTTATTGGTTCTATATTCAAATAGCTCATTGCATTGTCTTTACTTTTCATTAAGAATATCTTTATGTAGAAACTACTTATTTGCGTAAATATAAAGCATAATCCTTTTTACCATTATTTACTAGTGTTATTATTTTTTCAGCGGTCGCAAGTCCTCGGCAACAAGATTGAGATGGAAATAACGAAGTTGGTGGAAGCAAATCCCACTTTGCTCCGACTGGGTCTGCACCTCGAGTACAGCGACGCTCGCCATCGCGTCGCCAGCCATCTGCAGAGGAACATCGACAGAAGTCAGTACCGTTTCTTTACATTAAGGCTTATTATCGCTTGAATATTAGACATAATCATCAGTAAAGTCCAGTTGAAGTTAATTATTTCCTTTTTAGGATTTTCAGAAATTTTCGTACTTGTAAACTGATTTTATGGTATCAATATATTGAATATTATTAATTATTTTAAATCTGTATTTAGCTTAAGAAACTTTTTTGGTATTTTGAGTCTTAAAATAAGCAAGGTTGGTGCCTTCATACTGCGAGACTTATTCTAAGATTTTTTGGTAATCTTAATATAATGGTTATTATAAAGCATATCCACAGATGGAAAATGTTCCAGATTGTTTTTTCACATTTATCAAAATGAATTGTCATCTCATAACGACAAATTACACGTTTAACAATCACAACGCGTCTAAAACAATCATTACGTACAGATGGAGACTCGATGAGGCCCGAACATCGTCATCACACACGTAACATTTTACCTTAAAATAGTAGTCGACCCTTCTCAACCTAAAGCCATACACCACGCATGATACGTTTTACTTAGGAGTAACTAGAACATCCCTCGAGCATGACACCGGGTTGTGTATAATGGCCATCGATATTGTCAGATTGCCGAGTGCAAAAGCGCACTAACGTGTCACTGCGACTCCGCCTGCCCGGACGGCCGCCCGCGGTGGGCGTCGACGCTAGCTTGTTGAACCTCACGCCGCCCAGCGCCGAAACACCCACGCCCACTAAAGAGACGGTAATACCGGTCATCGACGAAAGCGTCGAAAACACGATCCTCATACCGGCAGACATTGTTCAGGAGCAGAACGGACGTAGCCCGACGACCACGCAATTGCCAAACTTTAACCCCAATCCATACTCGTAAGTGCGCAGGTTCGCGTGTCTGCACGCGGATTCGGTCAATAACGCACTGGTTTTCTCATTTTAACCCGACGATCGTCATTTTTTTCCACCATAGTCACGTGTTTTATTCCATTGCAGTACGGAAAGACCTAACGCTACGACTCCAGTTCAGGTTCTTTAACAACCTGCAAAAAGGCGCGCGTAGCCAATAGATTAAGGTCAGGTCACGAGACACGATGTTGGCACGGCGGCGGTTAACATTCTTCGCTTTTAATAAAGCTTTTTTTACAGTGACGATTGAACTAAACCGCAGTTTTACAATGAGTACTTTACGCTAACTGTAAAACCGCATTTATCTAACAGTTTCACACTTCTGTAGGTAGTTCATGTATTTTAACGATGTTTGAGACTCGGGGAGTGTAGGACAGTGAGTCAATGTAGGCATCGGAGCTGGTAAAGTTGGATTTTGTTTGGGCTGAGCTCAGCCATGATATTGGCGGCTGAGCTTAGCACTATAGGTCTTCAAAGTACGGGGTCAGATAGATATACTATGATAGTTTGGCCGAGAGTTCTAACTTCCACGCATGAGAGTGAACACTAACTGAATGAGAATGAGTTCTATGAAACAGCATGGGTATTGTTTTTCTTCAGTGTGTCATTTTGTTTTGATTTCCTTTGCGCTAACAAATATCATTTGGCTAAGAAAGGCAGTGAGAATTTAAAAACAAAGACGAAACACGTCGTCGTTTGATTGTGATTGGCTATCTCTAATCACAGACACGGGACATGATACGTTCCGTTTCACGAAAAGCTCTTTCGTTTTTGAACATTATCACTCCACTCGAAATGAATTTAATTCATTTGTTTAGCTCAAGTGATTTTTGGTAGTGCCGATCGTCTGTACATAAGCCCTTTCAATGTGTGTGTGTATGTATTGCAGTACGCCAGCAGCGACGGAGCCAGAATAGCGCTTAGAAGACTCAACGACACGTGTGGTGAGTCTCTTACACGACATATAAACATCGGGTAATAACAGAACTTATAACAGGCTAAATACTGTAAAATAATAATTCACGTTTTATTAAATATTTTAATTTCATATTAAATTTTACACTATTTTTAGGTTTAATATTCACTAAATAGCTGTCACAAGCAACAGGGAAAATTGATAATCATTGACTACAAATTTTTAATTAGAAAAAGATGAATACATTTGTATATCTATCTCCTTCTAACCTGTATTACCATTGATAGTCTGTGGTAACGATTATTTATAATTTACCTCAAAAACTTATGCTATGAGGATCCGAAACAACAAATCCACACAAAAATTATGTACTCTTTTGGTTATTGGCTGAACCTTGTAATGTTGTCAGTCACCTTATCAGTTACCGAAATAAAATTAAATATATTTGCTACTTTTTTCTTGTATATTTACGATATGTGAGTTGGACATGCCTCTAATGCTTTAGCATGAATTGTGTAATGTTCCTTTCACACAAAATACTATACATTAATGGTTGGCTACGATACAAATTTAAATTTTACAGCATTATTTGTGCATCAAAACTATAAGTTCATATATGTTACCGTTTTCTAATCTACAATACAAACTACAATATTGTTAACTGTAAATATTGTAACTGTCATAAATAAAAGCATTATCCAATGCTATAATAGCATATCAAAAACCAACTGTCAAATTGACACAAACAGAAAAATCTCGCGCCTGATTGGTTAAAAGAGCCACCTAACATGGCGCGGTACAAGAAATATTTGACAGTTGTTTACAATTTTACGCGTTATTAAAAGACTAAGGCAGTTCATTCTAAAATATTATTTTTTTATATTTAAATACGTCTTTTAAATCAGAGTGTACATCAAAGCTATTTGACCATTGCAAGAGGAAATATATCTTAGGGAACAAAAGTAAATCGTAAGACTCTAAACGAGATAATTTTTTCAGGTGGCAGAGCTCTTCGCTTGAGTCGATGCACCCGCAGTCGTAGCTACGTTGTGGGTTGGATCCCGTGAACTTGAGTATACAGACATATAAACACAAATTTTGCGCGTAAATATCGAACACCATAAGATTTTTTTTAATTTACGTATTTTTAAAGGTTTAAAATCGAGTACAAGTCAATCCGGTTTTTTGTGTTTATATGTCTCTGTCTTAGCTAAACTCGCCCGCAGTCGCTGCCTTTACGCTGTCCATACTCTTTGTAACTGTGTAGTTGATAATTTTTGGTGCCTCTCGTGCCCACTTAGGCTTCGCGTTCACTTTCGTCTCTTTCTGTCAAATACTATATTCGCTAAGATGGAAAGAGACAGATAATTGCTTTTGGTAGAACAGAATAAGACTGGTGTTTATAAATGGTTCTTGTTCTGACGCCAATTTGGTGAGATTGAAATGTAGATATAAAACGCGTATGAAATTAGGGCCGTAGCTTTACGCACTCGTGCGTTGGTGCTCGTATATTTATTTCTAGCTATTTTTATATCACTTTTTAACATTTGACTACACAAGGACAAAGATCACAGACAGTTATTTTAATAGGGAATGTTTGGTACAAATTGTGAGTTTATTTTGGACCGGTACTTCTAGATGGCAGGTCCAAGCCTAGACTATGGGTAACAAAATAAAATCGTACGATTTGTTTGAATGAAAGTATGTTTATTAATTCTTAGCGTGTTAATGAATTCGTATTAATTTTATCATTTTAATGAATTGTAATATATTGTAAGTTTACATTCCGTTAACGCTAAACATGCTTCTCTATTGACCTGCAACTGTTTTCACACAAATTGATATAACTTCAAACGGCCATAGTTTGTCTGTTTTTGTACAAATTTTTATTACAAATGACATAATTTATAATACAATTTCTTTACATCTAAGTTTGTAGCAATTAAGGGAGAAGTAATGTTCCGCGTAAACGGAGGGCTAAGTTTTTAAATTTCATAAAGCTGTAGGTTCTATTATCGCAGATTCGTTTAGTTACTTTCTAGTTAAAGTCGAGATACTTTCAGGCTTTCGATGTCGGCTTTGTAACATTTAGCTTATGATGCTAATCATTGTAACTATGTATATTAGTAAAGGATCCTAGAATCCATAACGTTGTGATAAACATCTTTTTTTTCCAATAAATTGCTTGATTTTTTTCATTTTTGTTTTGATTTTTGGCATCGATTGGGAACGAGTATCCCATTTTGAAATAAGCCGAATTGTATATGAATTTTAGATTTTTTATGTACCGATAATGAAATAAAATTTTATTATTATAGATTTTATTTATACCTTTGACGTAAGCATTTTGATTCAACGACAACCTCGAAGTAGAGTCGCAGTTCTGTAGTTTGTGACAAAATGTAATAAAAAACAATTATTCACGTTATTGTTTTATTTGGATTCCGAAAGTTCCCCTGAAAAATTTACTTCAAAAATACAGTTCTGTAACCACTAAGCTGAGAACGAATTATTAGAAGCTACTAACTTAGTAGAGAACTACTACTACTTGTTAGAATAAATGGTTTATCCAACGGGACTTGAGTTACTTCAGACACTATGCTACCTGCGTACGTAACGTACGTGCCTACGTAACCAAAAATCTACTGTTGTGTGACCGTGACTGCAGTAGTGTGTGTGAAGTATTATTGACATGTTAATAATACTATTATGTACTACATCTACAATAAGATAAATTGCTGTTCACATCTTCCCGCCCTGTACTTTAAAAAAACTGTTAAAGGAATGGCTTCTGAACACACCTAACGCAGAGTTGGAGAAGCCACTCAGACCTACCATGTATACTCTGATTTTTAATTCCGTAGAATTCTGACAGCTATCCTTTTTTGACATGTCAGGAATTACAAACCTTTTTGACCGGGCGCATTCTTCAATGTCATTACAAGTCTGAACATCTGAGTCTATACATGCATTTTATTTGTTAGTGAATGTATCCATTTTATTAAGTGCGGTGCTCCACATTAAAAGTGGTTTTACAAAACGCACAAGTCATAAATAACATTTTATTTTTGTAAAAAGGTTTACTAAACCTGGAATTAGTTGGCAATGATGCCAGGTAAAGAATAAAATAAAGTAATTAAAGTCAATTCGATATATTGTTCGTGACATTGAAGTACTTGTTATTTTTGTATTAGGTCACTTAATGTAAATATTTAGATTTACCTTTTTGTAGGTAAAACATAATAAATACGTAGCATTTTATTTTCAAATGGGTCAAATTTGTCTCTTTTTCGGTGGAGAACTTTTTTAAGTAGCAACACTTATGAAATGTCAGAATTCTACGGAATGAAAAATCAGAGTTAAGTTTATTCAACACTTGGGAATTATATTATGTGCAATAGAAGTCGCATGCACCTGGGAAGAAAGGTTAGCTAAAGTGGAATCAGCTGGTGAAATAAATTCGGGATTACGAACTGCTAGGGAGTAGAAAATGCGTCGCTATGTGCCTGGATGCCCTGGATGGGGCAGAGGGTGTCCACAGTGAGCCTCCATCGCGTTCGGTCTTGAGCTACGTATTTCACGTTTCTCCTAGTCTTTCCGACTCTCTTTGCATCATCTGCAACTGTACGTCGCCACGTTTGCTAGCGGAAGCACGGCCGTCCCGCTTCCGCTTTCCTTGCGGACTCCAATCAAGAGTCTCCTCGGGGATATGATTGGAATTTCTTCAGAGTGTATGGCCCATCTGGTTCGTGCCAGTGGATACCCAGAATGCAGCGGAGACAGCTGTTGACGAAGACTTCTCTTCTGTTCCTTCAGTTTCAGACACGACACGTAAACAAATTTTGGAACGCGTACCACATACTCTACACCTGATGTTATGTGATACCGCTGCCCATGGACACTCACATTGCCAGAAGGCTCGCACGTGCATTGCCGGCTTTTTAAGAATTGGTACGCTATTTTGTTTAATGACCCTATGTCGAATTGGTTCGGAAATACTTCAGTGGGTAGCTGATACCAAATAGTGATGGCGCGCGATAAAAGCTGTCTTCTTAGAGTTAAATTGGACTAGTTTAGGTCGACCCAGTGCTATCGTTCGTTTGGCAATAAATATTGCTAAGTTGCAACATATCATTAATTTGCAGAAGAAACTGGGTCGGGGATAAGATACAGCCTTGTGAGACCCCAACAGCAGGTCATCCGCATCCAAGTCTTCTAAGATCTTGGTTAATCCACACACGCTACGTAAGGAGTTATAAACGTTGCGCAATAAATTCAACGACATCGATTAATCTTCTTGAAAATGCAACATTAAGATTTAAAAAATATAATACCAACTGCAATTAAGAACTCGCAGGAAATGTGACAATTTCATCGCTGCCGCACTTGTGCGAGGTTCTCTGATTGTTTGGTCTTGGTATCTTCGGCCGCCTCTGGTCAACGACAATAATCAATTTTACGTAGACGAGCACTTAACATTGAAAAACAAAATCTTTTTTACAAGGGAAAAGGATATAAATACGTACGTATGGATAACAAAAATATATTTCTTAGAAAAGCAGACGATTCCATTCAAGTGATTGATATTATATACCATATATAGGCCATATTCATTACTAGATTTTATTTGACAGCTAAATATCCTTTATTTTTTTGTTTCTATCTTGTTTATCCTTGGTATGTATTTTTCATATTTAACACTAATCTTTTTCACTTACGTTAATTTTAACATAAATTTGTACATATAGGTTCAATTTTGGGTATATAGAGCGTGAAATCGGTTCTTTTCAAAATCATCCGTAATCTCCTCTACGATAATATTGTTCTCGTAGAGATCTGGGTGAATTCTATTTTTGATGGGGAGTTGAATTCGCGTGGTTGAAACATTATCCCCCCTGCGTCCTCGGTGGACGCACATGCTGCCCTTCGTATTCTGGAAGGAGGTCAATTCTGCGCTCAACGACCAACATAATATGTCAATAAAAGAGCGTACCAATTCTTAAGAGGCCGGCAACTCATTTTCGACCCCTTCTGGCAATGTAAGTGTCCATGGGCGGCGGTATCAATTAACATCAGATGAGCCTCCAGCCCGTTTGCCGCCTATTTTTATAATAGGCGGCAAAAAATATTTCGACATGACAGAAAGACTAAAAAAAAAAGTGGTGGTGCCTAAGCATTTCTAATCCTTGTCATAACGTCCTCTTTCAACACACACTGGTCACGTATCTCACTATTTCTTCTCCTTTCACGCAATGTTACAACTTACAACACACACTACTTAACTCTCTCTTGTTATTATTATTGTTATTTATGTCTTCTTCTTATGTGTGATCTTCTTAATGTTGTACCTATTATCTACTAGTGTACCGACCGGCTGTCATGTTTGTATATATCTAATTATTATTTCTCTGTGAAACTCTTCTAGAATACATTGAATACTCTTGATTAATATATAATTTCTTCTTTTGTTTCTATTAAAGTGATCTGTTTTGTTTAAGGGTTTTGACATATGAGAGTTATACTTAACGCTTAAGTTTTGTTTGTGAATCAGGGTTATATTTCTAGATTAATAATTATAAAAATATAAACTATACGTTGATGTTTTCAGAATTGTGATAAGAAAAGTGTTGACCTGAGAGGAACAGAACAAAAATCAAGTTTTCATACTTGAATAATATTTTAAAAACGAGACAGTTTTTTCACGTAACTGCTTTACAAATAAGTCTTGATTTTTTAAAATAAATTTTACAATATAAATATTCATTACGCCCATGGATAAAATAAATGAAAAACGTAATGTCAAGCTCTTTTTGGAAAAGGTATGTCGAAATGTTTTTGTTTTGCTACATAAAAATTATAGGGAATTGTTCCTAGATGATATTATTATTTTCTAATGTTTACATAAAATTCTATCATTTTACTGGGTATAGTTTTAAAATGGTTGAAGAACAACTTTAAAGATAAAAAGCTAGCTACATTCACCATTAAAGGATCCGTGACTGCGTCGGTTTGTGTGTATTAATGATCAACAAACTCAAATAA